GGTTCCAGTATGGGTTGCATTTTCATATGTGCAAGAACGCATAACAAGCAGAACGAGAGCTTTGATGATTCAGATTATCTAAGGGCGCCAATTAATAGCGGAAGTCAGCTTTTAAATTTCCTAATTCTCTGGCCAGTAAACTCATGCCCTAGAATCAGAGCATTTCGCGAAACACATTTTCAAAATTTTTGCCGTCTTGTAAAGGTACACCGTTATACTTTTTTTGCACTGTATTATGACGGTACTGTATTTTTTTGCCTTAATAGTTCTCGACGGGATTCCTTAGTAGCATGGCGATATCGCTGATTTACGATCCGAACTACCGTCTTGCAGAAAAGTCAGCTGTTGCCTTCTTCAAAAGAGTACACTATTGAAGGGACTGCTGAAGGCGTTTGAATTCCTTGTATGTCCAGGATTGTCAGAACTACTCTAACATCAAGAAACAAATCAAAGAGTCCTGTCAAACTGGTTTGTCAAACGAAGGCTTTGAAAAGAAAAAATGTAAAAGCGAAGCCATAACGCATTACTTTAGTTTAGTGCTTTCCAGCAGTCTTTAATCTAGACTCTTTAAGTGAATGGAAACGATCATTCATCAAACAATTATGCAAAAATACTCTGAAAAATACGGTAGTCATACAATAATAATGGTGATGAAACCATACTTCCGCGACACGTGTAGACGCTGATTTCATCGATAAGAATATAAAGATTATCGTCGCTGTCACTGGCGTCCACACGATCGTTGTTGTTATTGTTGTTGCCGCTGCCGCTACTGCTTTCTGTCGGGATATATCGCTGTTGCTGTTGTGCCACTGTGATGGAGATGACCCCACATAGCACAAATACGATAAGCGTTTGTGGCCTAACGGCTACCATACCAATCAAACCATCCATTACGTACCTTTGCTTTCGCCTGCCTCCAACACCTCCAAACATCTGCGAAGATGCGGATACCGATGTCAGTTCTAGCGGTAATAATAGTGATGCTGGAATGGCCGGTAATAGTGCTGACGATGGTGATGGTGGCAGTGGTGACGAACGCAAAACAAGTGATCTGGATTGTCTCTTTATCCAGAAAATGATGGAAATGTCGGCATACACCGAAGGCAGGAGCAGCGATGAATGGCTAGTGGAAATCGGGAACGATCACACTGAATTCGCCGATCTGAAATCGATTACTGCCCATCAGTTTGTATGCTGCGGATGATGACCGCACTAGTTTTTGGCGAAGATGATGCTGGCGCTGGAGGTGGCGATGGCAGTGACGATGATGATGCTACTTGATTACAGTACAAGTTATCAATCTCAAAGTTCAGTTACGGATTGAAACAGGCGCCTTTAGGAGATGTCGAAAGCGTAAAGGCAGGAAGAATCCTACAGCAAGAAGGGTTAAGTTTCGAGCGTGAAGTGTCAAAGTGAATCGGAAGAATGAAGAACAAAACTGAAGGATTTTATAATGCAGAGGAATAAATTTATTTCGGAGGATGCTGTTATTTAGGATCACTGGAATTGTACTAGGATCACTGGAACTGTCTGCGTGTTATCAACGAAGACGGAGAATTTCGACGCTCACAGTGTAGCTGGAATGTTCGCACAAGCCACGAAATTTGATTCGCAAAGAGCGTGCTTGGCCAGGTATATTTTAGCAGCACTGACGAAACAAAGGACTGCACCTTTCAAGTATAATTTTTACACAATTCAGCACAAAAACGCATCGTGAGAATACTTTATCATATTTCAGTCTTATAACCACCGAAGCCAGGAGGCTGAAATTTCGGGAAGTGCAGTTCCTTCTGGAAATGCAAGAGCAGATTCTGCTAGTGCAGTCGCAGCCGTAAAGAAATTATGAGACCAGAAAGCCGCAAAGAAATCGCTCGCGCAATACTGAAATTGAACTACTCTCCAGTTCGCTTGCCATCTTGCGTTGCTTTTTCAGCTAAATGTCGCTTTTTCACAGAAACAAAATCTAGGGTTTCTTAAAAATTCGGCATTCGGTTGTACCAGTGGTGCTTTAACTTCCATTTGAATGCATATGAACCGGGCGGAAGCGACGCATGGAGTGATCTACTTTGGAATTTATTTGACTGCTGTGTATATGAACCGTTTTTCATTTGGAATCAAAAAAGTGATTGAAGATAAGTGAGAATCGCGTTGTAAAATAAAACAATGCTGTTATTATTTAGTTTCATCCATTGTGACTTAAAGCAGCGACGAAATCTACTTATCATTCAGTGGTTGTTTGTGCACCAATCTTAAGCTTCAAAACATCCAACGACTAAACAAATCGACCATTATAATCAAGCAGAATGCTTGGCGCACGTTACCCACAGCTGATGAGATGTAGGCCAGCGTTGTGCATTATTAGACTCTCGGTTTTTCCACTGGGCCTACAACCTTCCTGTCGTATGTGCTTTTGCTGCTAGAGTCTACTCGCGGGCATTACGGTAAATGTGCTCAGCCTTTTCATCTTTTCTCCACAGGTAATATTCAAAAGGTATTATTAGGCGCCCAATATTAGTTTTAGTTACAGAAAATAAATAGCCAGAAGCATATGCCAACGTCCCAAAGCGTGCGTTTTTGTTACAAAGTTATTCCGGAGACATAATGATGGAACGTACCATTACGCACAAAGATCGACATACTTTCCATAACTTCTTGCTCCGCCAACGCAAGTAACTTTTAAAATTAGAATATTCGGCTTGTTTCATTGCAAAATTACGGCATTGGCATCAGTCTAGATCTGTAGTCACCTGCACTAGGGGTTACGAAAGCTGATTTTCGGTCATTCACCCGGCAGCTAAGCTACAACGCTGGTGCATCACTGATCATCCGTTTTTATGCGTTTTTTGCAGCAATGCAATGCGAAAAACGCATATTGACGAGAGGTTGTCTGTTTCGATTTTTTGTTGTTATATATTTCCTCCGTTTTTATGCGTTTTTTGCAGCAGTGCAATGCGAAAAACGCATATTGACGAGAGGTTGTCTGTGTGATTTTTATGCGTTTTTTGCAGCAATGCAATGCGAAAAACGCATATTGACGAGAGGTTGTCTGTGTGTTCGTGTGTCTGTGTGCCTGTGTGTGCGTCTGTCACGCACTTTCATCTCCGGACCTATAAAAGCTGCGATGTGTCTGTGTGTGCGCTGGGCCTCTGTATCGGTTTTTCATCTCGAGACCGGCAAAAGCTACGGAGCTGAAACTTTGGGGACTTGTGCGTGTGTGTGTGCGCTGCGCGTCTGTACCGATTTTTATGCGTTTTGTGCTGTGTAACAGCCGCGTTTTTTGCAGCTATGCAATGCAGAAAACGCATATTGACGAGAGGTTGTCTGTGTGTGTGTGTGTGCGTGCTGTATGTGTGTGTGTTTGTGTGTGTGTCTGTGTGTGCGCAGCGCGTCTGTACCGATTTTTCATCTCTGTTTGTGTGTGTGTCTGTGTGTGCGCTGCGCGTCTCTACCGATTTTTCATCTCGAGACCCACAAAAGCTACAGGGCTGTTTTGTGTGTGTGTCTGTGTGTGCGCTGGGCCTCCGTACCGATTTTTCATCTCGAGACCGGCAAAAGTTGTGTGTGTGTCTGTGTGTGCGCTGCGCGTCTGTACCGATTTTTCATCTGGAGACCGGCAAAAGCTACGGGGCTGAAACTTGGGGGGTATGTCTGTGTGTGCGCAGCGCGTCTGTACCGATTTTTCATCTCGCGTGTGTTTGTGTGTGTGCGTGTGTGTCTGTGTGTGCGCTGGGCCTCTGCACCGACTTTTCATCTCGAGAGCGGCAAAAGCTAGGGGGCTGAAACTTTGGGGACTTAATCTACATGTATGTACGGGCCCCTATCCCCAAAATGGGCGGTTTTTCCCGCGTGGTACCCACGTAAGACCCCACCAAAGTTTTTTACGGGTAAGCTGCTAACTCGCGAA